CCCCTCTCCATTCTGCCATAAGTATGTCAATCTTTTATGGAGAATTACAACATATGTTTTACATATTAAATTGATTTAAACGTTCCGTTCTTAACGGTAGGATCGAGAAAAACACCTTCGGTAATTATGAGCAACTAATTCTCTATTTATATAATCCACTGGAAACATAGAAACGAACTTTGCCTCGTTTCATGGAAATTCAATGGAATCTTAAATCACGTAATAGCAATGGATTTGGATATCCGTAACATCTTATTGATTCGAGATAGTCGAGGGATAGTGACGAGGAAACAAAAAAGCAGATCAGAAGCCACCGAAGTAAATTCTTGTTAGTTTATTAGGTCGCGAGTGGAGAATAACGGCGTAGAGCCGTGCATGATTTGACACGTTTAAACGACGATGACAAACGTACATTCTTTCTGCTTCGATAGCATCGATACTTTTCATCGTCCTCAAGCGTTAACGATCGTTTTCGAGTATTTTAGCACTACGATTTTGGTAATTCGATTCGTTAAAATCAATCATCGTTTGATATTTTTGGTGGCCAACGGCGGGAAATTATTATTCGAACGTTCAAACGTGAGAATATAGTGAGAACTACATTTGACCCGAGAGTAAAAGAAATATAAATTTATGCGCCTATAAATCTAATATTCTAATATAAATATACGCGATAAATAAATTCATGACTCATAGTTTTAATATGAGGTTTCGTTTCTTTATCTCAAACATCCTATATTAGCATTAGATAGTTTCAATACTCGCCAACATTCATACGAAGGCCATTTTTCATCGATATGCACAATTATCGGTGATTAAACAAAATGCGCACGCTTTATGCACTCTCGATACGAATATGATTCGGAATACATTATTATTAAATACAACCAGGAGGGAATTTTTTTTTTTCATCCACATTTTCTTCTAGCTTATGCAATTGCAATGAAAGAGCAAAAACAGTCTCGGCACACCTTGGCGTAGGTGCCATTTCAAAAGCTTTTACTATTAATACGCTAGGGAAAAAAAAAAGTATTTCATCAAAGTTAACGTCCCTCTGTTACGCAAAGTTTGACAAACTTGTACCTTTTTATGTTGCGTACGATCAACATGTCGTCCAGTACACTACAAAATCAATAAGTATTGTTCAATAAGATTGACAAACTCGCGTTTCCGTAGCATGCCGATCTTTTACTTAATTACTATCAATTCGTCAACTTGCGAGTCCAAAGTGTAATCAATTATCCTTCGGTTAATGGACAATCGACAGGTGCGGCTCATACGGAAGATCGACAATTAATCGTTCATCTTTATTGTAAATTGCTAGGTGTCAAGAAAAAAGCGAGATGTATAGTTTGTAATTGGAGGGCGCGGATTGATGAAATAATTTTATTGAGTAAACGTGGGAATCGTCAACAGCTTGAATCGGTCATCGAATAGATAAACGATAAATCAATTATGTAAGAAATTATGATAGCCGGCTTCTTTCTCATTCTCTCTCTCTCTCTCTCTCTCTCTCTCTCTCTCTCTCTCTCTCTTTCTCTCTATAACTCAAACTCATGTAAAACTTATGCGTTCAAAATATCGCGATATTTTTTTTGCGCTTATTACCGCTACCTTTGCTGTTTACCAGTATAAAATTTATCTGGAATGCAGTCCAACACCACTGGCATTAAAACGTTTATTTACTTTAACTCGCTCTCACAGTACTGCCAACTGCCAGTCTTATAGAAGTATATTTTCTCTTTGCAATTAAATTGTTACATTAATTCTCTAAGATAGTACGTTTATAATCACTATAAAACCTCGGCGGTGCATCGCCGGCTTAAGAGAGGAAGAAAATTTGGCAATATTATCCGGCGTTCCCTGTAACAATACTTCGCGCTCGCGTAAAACTCCCTCGGCTTTATCATTTTCAAATTGTTTTCCAAATGCATAAATTTGCCATTTAATTCGAATAATAAAATATCCCAAGTATCCGACCCAGGAGTCCGACTGGGGCTTGAAATGAACAATCTTGCCGGCCGGGTGTGACTCCGGTCGAGCGCATCCTCGAATTGCCGGGCTCTCGCGGGATCCATTCCGCGAACGAAAATTCATCGCGCAATTATCCCCCGGAATTCGCCAACACGCATTGCCTGCATACACCCACACGCACTTGTCGACTTGGAACACGTGTCGGCGGCTCAAGGCCGAGGGCCGCGGTTTCTTACCTCGAGTCAACGCATTCCAGCGACGTGTCGCCGCCATCCCCGCTCCCAACTTCCGAAGCTTTCTACAAGCACGGCTAATTGTTCCGCAGGGAGAAAGGCGCCTTCCTATAGCGCCGTTATATCGGTGCTCGCGCGTTAATCGCGCCCCGGGCATTTCTAAACGCGCATCTTCCTCTCCGCCTACCTTAACGGACCCGGGAACTCGGTAGTCACGTCGTCGCCGAAAGACAAGAGGCCGTGCATGAGAGCACACTTCCCTTGCCAGCGGCAATGAATTTTTAATAAGCGTCCGGGTATCCGAGTAATCGGAATTAATTGATGCTGGATTAATTTCACTGCTGCTGCGAATCGAGAGTTAATGGCTCGGGCGAAAGCGCTCACCACGTTCGAGGACATAACATTATGTTGCCGCGCGAGTGCATTCGGAAAACACGAGACGCGCGTTGGAAATTATTAAAGGACGGATCTTCGCACCTGCCGCCCCGGTAGTCCCCCCCCCCCCTCCCCCCACCCCCACCCAACAAGTTACTACACTTTCTATTTTGAAAATGGGAGCGGCAGAGGCTCGGTATGGGTAAACCGTGTCAGCTCGTTGCATAAATAGCGGCCGAGCCTAGGCTTTGCATAGGTTGCTGCGTGTATGACTGGCAGAGCGAATGGTGCGTGGGGTGGGGCGGAGCGATCGGTAGGGCAAGGTGGGACGAGGTGGGGACGGAGAAGAAACGTAATATACCAGAAAATATGCAATCTAGATAATGACAGAGTCTCGGCGAGTTTCATTACGGTTTCGCTCTTATTAAAACTGACAATAATGCCACGTCGCTCGTTTCGTGGCATTTACGTCGCAACCGCAGCGTCGCTTCGTCCAGACACGACGTTTATTTCGTTTTTATGAAGACGTTCGGACCCGATGGAGGCGATATTTTCATTGTGACGTTCTTTTCGAAGCCAATAAAGGGACCAATGTCTCAAGTGCTAATCGAAGAGAGAGAGAGAGAGACAGAGAGAGACAGAGAGAGAGAGAGATCAATCGCGATTATTAGCTTATCTAATAAGGAGTAAAAGCCGATCTCGCTTGCCTGGGTATCCATCCAGCCGAATAGTATATCATCAAAGAGCAAAAAAAAAAAAAAAAAAAAACCAAAAAATATCCTTACAAAATGATGGTCGGAACGCGTTGCTATCGTCTGCTTGCTCTCGTCACATTGCGTAAAACAAAAATAATCGTGTCGAACAACTACAAGTTCATTGTTCGTTCGGAAAGAAAAATCTAAATGTCTGAAGCAATTTGGACTCGTTAAAGAGTCACATCTGCCGGTAGAACGATTCGTAAAACACGCCGGGAATTCGTCAATTAAGGTACTTTATTATGCATTTGTCGTTGCTGTTGTCTACGTGGGACGCGGTTGGTGCGGAGGCGGTGGCTGCTGCTGCTGCTGCTGACGCCTAGGGACATTGCATGCAGCGTCCGCGTGTACGCTGTGTTACGTAATATCGTCAGTAAGGCGCACGATTGTCGATTCATTTTAATTGTCACTCGAGTCGCTCCCAGCGTATGCAAGTGCATCGCCCGATTTTCACTGATTATTCGCCCTCGCTGATTCTCATTCGCATTCTTCAGCCTCGCCGATAATTTCAATTGCATCCGTTTGCAAATACCTCACCATTCGATTCCCCATCACCGCCACATCGTCCGTAGCGATCAGCCAACGCTACATTAGACAATCGCCGAACGCACGTGCGAATTATCTCGTGGCTCGTTAGGGAAGAGGCCAACCCCATTGGCGGTTTGTCAACTCGATATTCGCACTCGCCGAGGCTGGGATCGCGCGAGCCCCGTGACGCCAGGAGAAAACGTGCGTGCGCACGAAAGACGGGTGAAAGTCACCACCGGCGCCGAGAGAGCGAGGCTTTCATCGTCCGGCCGCTTGACCGTGCCTTGTAAGTCGACCGATAGAAAGTTACCATCCTCCTCACGTGGGAAAAAATCCAAGGCGGAGACGGAGCTTTCGTTTAGAGGGACGCGAGTCCGAACGTAACTGTCTCTGATTCCCAATGATTCCGCTTTAGCGCGAGGTACGCACTGGAAAAAAAAATGGCGTACACGGAGCTGATTATCGTCCGATAGTCAGTCAGCGATAAGTGCCTTACCCCCCCCCCCCCCCCCCCCCCCCCCCCCCCTCC